TGAGATATTACGAAATACTCTGGAGACAACATTGGACTGCATGCTTGTGTTGCATATAGTGCAGTAATAGCTTGTTTATATATCTAAAAATTACATTTTCTAGTCAGAAAAAGTTACTTAAAAGTAGTCAAATCCAGATCATCTTAAATTTCAGATTGAAGCAAGAAACTAAAATTGAACGCCAAATGCACCTCGTTTTCTGCTTTATTTTCATTGTCCTTGAATTCACTTCTCTTTCTTATTTGCAGGTCATTTTCTTTTAACGCATTTGTTAATAGAAACCATGACAAAAACGGCTCGTGAGATGAAGAGAGAGGGAAGAATTGTGAATGTTTCATCAGAGGGACACCGATATACTTATAAAGAAGGAATACGTTTCGATAGACTCAATGATAAAGAAGGGTATTTGATTCTATTTTCTGAGTGTTGTTGAGTTCCATTCTCGATTCTGTGAATTAACATATGAGTGTAGTTGAGTTTCGTTCTAGATTTTGTGAATTAACATCTGGCTTAAAATATCTACTCGAATATGGAGATTTGTATTCAACTCTGGGATCATGTTATGAATTCAAGGAAGATGATATACTTTCGCATGTGATTTTTATTGTCTACGTGCAGGTACAAGACCTTGGCTGCGTATGGCCAGTCAAAACTAGCTAACATACTCCATACAAATGAGCTGGCGAGGCGATTAAAGGTACTTAATTCGATGTGCACTTCCGAACAAGCTTCATCATTCATCCTACGATTTTTGTGAGAAATGATCAGGAATTTTAAGAAAGATAATGAGGAACTTCCTTTATAATTGCAATGAACTTAAACTTGATACCCTTCTTGGGGTGACTAGGTTCGATAGCTAATGCAGTCATAAATAACTCTTTCTCTATGAGCTCTGCATTCGGTTAATAGTATAAGAACATGTTTGGTAGGACTTCAACTTTTATTTTTACTTCTTATAGAAGAGTTTCTTGAATGAACTACCTTGGGATTATTTCCTCCAAAAACTCTTTTAGTTAGACAAATTACAGCTTTTGATTTTTCAAAAGTCCTATCAAATGTGTCCTAAGTACTCCTCTAATAGGGCGTCGGTTCTTCACTTGAGAAACTACCCTTAACCCATTTAGTGAAAATTTTCAATGCTATTGAAACAAAATATATATCTTACCCCATTTCATTTCTCTCAGATGCTAAACAATAGTAGATGACAAGTGATAGATACTTTTTTTTGGCGTTTGCATTTGAATACCATGAAAGTCTAACCTCATAAGATTGAGGAGATCTCATGAGGTTTTTGGGATTGGTAAAGAAAGCTTAAAAATTTCTTATATTGGTTTTATCTCATAGGTATATCTCCAACGAACCCTAAAAAAGAAAACTATAAAGGAAAAAAACGCACGTACAAAACACACATCCAATCTCATTTTGAAGCTGGTATATTGTATATTCATATTATTGAAATCACTTTTGCATATAAGCCTATGTTTGGTTTATGTTTGCAAACGATTTATGAACACTCAAAGTCACTTTTTATCCGCACATATCGAGGAATCCACAAGTGCTATGCACTTATCCACCACTCATTTTTATATATTTATAATTTAAACCGTTTATGAACACTTCCCATGTATGCTTTAAATTCCTTGGTAAAAGATTCAAGTGATACTGGAAACCACATTCTCTGCTGCCTGTCGTCACTACATTTTGAACATCTGAAAATTGAAGTTCAATTTTTGGATGAGTTGACAGTGGTTTTTTTTTGTGAGTTTAATATTCTTTTCTTATTTCATACCGGAGAAAAAGTTTCTAATTCAAATGCTTGTATTTAATTTATTGAAATTTGGCAATTTATTCCTTGGACAGGAAGATGGAGAAGAAATAACTGCAAATTCACTTCACCCTGGAGCAATTGTAACCAATCTTTTCGATAGATTTGGTGTTTTTAAAGGTAACTTGGGTGGTTTCAAAAGTATATTTAAATGATTTGATTTAATGCCTCCATAACAAATTATCGACTAATTTTCGGTTGCATGTTTGGAATTTTGCTTCCGTTGGAATCTATTGTGCAAAAGTAAACAATAAAAACTAAAATCGAATAAAAGAAAAACAATAAGATCAACAAACATAAATTTAACTGGTTTGTCAATTTGCCTACGTCCATCCACAGTACAAAAAAAAAAA